ACGGGTACCTGCCTGCTGGTGGGTGGAGCTGGGTCTTGTCTCTCTGGGGGGCAGGGCCGTGTCAAGGGGTGTGTTTATAGGCGGCTGTGGGGTCAGGACGACCTTAAGCAGTGTGTCTGCTGATGGGTGGGGCTGTGTTCCCACCCTATTGGTTGTTTGGCCTGAGGCGTCCCAGCGCTGGATGCTGCAGGCTGTTGCTGGGGCCGGGTCTCTGTGCCAAAATGGCGACCTCCACGGGAGCTCATGCTGTTGAATATTTCCTGGGGCCTCCGTCACCAGTGTCCTTGCCCTCACAGTGAGCCACAGCCGACCCCGTCTCCCCAGGAGACCCTCCAAGACCCGCAGGTAGGTCTGGCCCAGGCTTCTATGGACTCACTGCTTTGCCCTGGGTCCCAGTGCACATGAAACCATGTGTGCACCCTCGAAGAGTAGAGTCTCTGTTTCCCCCGGGACTCTGTGGTTCCTGCACTCAAGCCCCACTGGCCTTCAAAGCCAAATGCTCTGGGGGCTCCTCCTGCCAATGCCAGACCCCCAGGCTGGGGAGCCTGACATGGGGCTTAGAGCTCTCTCTTCTGTTGAAGACCCTCTGTGATATAGTAATTTTCCAGTTTGTGGGTTGCCCACCTGGCGGCTATGGGATTTGATTATATTGTGAAAGCACCCCTCCTGCCGTCTTGTTGTGGCTTCTTCTTTGTCTTTGGGTGTAGAATATCTTTTTTTGTAGGTTCGAGTCTTTTTGTCAATGGTGGTTCAGCAGTTAGTTGTGATTTTGGTGTTTTCGTGAGAGGAGATGAGCTCAAGTCCTTCTGCTCCGCCATCTTGTCTCCTGCCTACGAATTCACAATTTTATATTTGCTCTCCTATCTTTAGTAAAGAAAAGAGTCGTTTTAATACACTGCTAGATTACATAGCTAATGAAACTATTTCAGTTCATTGAAATGTCTGCACAGGGCTTTGCAGGTTAAAATTAAACTGTCCTCCCCTCCCTTCGCATGCAGTACAGATTTCCCTTGAGAATGGTGTTAACCCCACAGGCATTTAGGAGACTGATGGGAGGGCAGATATGTCCCAAGCATGGGAAGTACACTGGATAATAAATAAAAGAGAGAGTGTTCTGTGGGAGTTACGTGCACAACATGCATCGGCAAAGAAAATACTGCTTTGTTTTTCCGTGAATTTCATTTTTAACTCAGTTTATTGACTGAACCAGTTTTGCTAAAAAGCTAAAGGAAAGCAAAGCAAACATAAACTTAATATATAGTACCTAGGAGCACACTATAAAATGGTGTATTTCATCAGTTTTAAGACAGACAATTTTATTCCGGTTTTAACACCACCCATGTCAGGATGAATCATACAGTGCATGACATAATTATAGTTGATAACATTTTAACTTAGTGGCACATAAAGTAACTGCCTTACAAATTCATGGTGTCTTAAATTGGATGAAAATCAGTATAACGTAAAGATCTTCATCAAGTTTTGAACCTCCTTTTTTTTTTTGTTTGTTGTTTGTTTTTTTTTTTTTGCGGTACGCAGGCCTCTCACTGTTGTGGCCTCTCCCGTTGAGAAGCACAGGCTCCGGACGCGCAGGCTCAGCGGCCATGGCTCACGGGCCCAGCCGCTCCGTGGCATGTGGGATCTTCCCAGACCGGGGCACGAACCCGTGTCCCCTGCGGCAGGCGGACTCTCAACCACTGCGCCACCAGGGAAGCCCTGAACCTCCTTTTGAAACACAGTTTGTTGATAGTGTACATGTACTCATGAGTATGCCCCTCCCCTCGCGCTTAGTGTTGGCCTGAAGTCAAGGCAGCATTTTCATTTAACGTTGTTAACTTTGGAGACAGACATATAACAAGAAATAATTGGGAAATCTGCCACATTTAAATAAGGAAACTCCAGCCTTGATGTTAAGCTAGACATGTTTTCTGAATCTGCAAAGCTGAAAGCTAGTTAACGTAGCAGGATCCAGTCTTCCTTAGTTCTAGTTTTCCTGTCACTTTATCTTTGGTATTTAAAGATGACCTTTGAGAGATTATTGCTGTATCCACTACGGAGTGACCAGAAGAGTGATGTTTGATGCGGAGCCTTCTCATGACCCAGCCCTCAGGCAGGCTTGGTACGTCTCCACGAGCTGATGCTCCCTTGGTCACGGGACCACCTGTTGACAGAGCCCATCATTGTGCACATTCACCAGCCAGAGTTCTAGTGCTTTTCCTCCAAAAGAATGAGTCCAGGTTGTCACAGTTGAGGTTATGTCTTTCTGGTTCCTTCCCATCATCTCACGCTTAGAGTGCATAGTATGAAATGGTGCATCATAGTGCCAGCATTTTGTGTTGTTTCGAACAAATTTTGTGGTCATACATAATCCTGTGAGTATCGATGTCCATATTGCTACTCCCTCCTCCCACCCCAAGGATATTTTAAAAAATCATGTGCAAAAGCCCTGTGATGGCAAGGTGGCCCTCAGGCGGGAGCATGATGCATTTGAAGAAATAGATGAAGGGCCTGTGTTTGGAACAGAGGAGAGTGTGGGTGGGGCCAGAAATACACACCTTCATGGACCGTCTTACTGACCTTTGCCCTCATTCTGAGAGTAAAGGGCATCCTCTGGGGTTCCCCCCCTCTTTTTTTTTTAAAGTCAGATTTGCCTGTAAAAAGCTCACTCCTGAATTCTGGATTTTGTGTGTGTTGCGGCTGGGGTATCCACCTCGACTCTCACAAGCCTCTCTTGCTTCTTATGCCCCACGTAAACTAGTTTACTAGATGTTGTCTGAAAACCCTGCATTGACTTTTTTGTGTGGTTTTGAATCAGAGTGCCCTTTTCTTTTTTCCCCCTTATTTCTTGATTGTTTAAAACAATGAGCCAATACTTTATTATATATTTGGTAGAATTATTACATATGTGTGTTTATATGTATATGAATATTTATGTCTGTGTGTAACAAATGCAAACACTCTCACAAACTGTTTATCATCACAAGAGGTGGCGTGAGGTCAGCTCTGCCATCGGACATTATCTTGTCCAGAAGTGACTTAAACTCTCTAAACCTGTGTATTTTCATCTGTTAAGTGAACTAAGGTTTAAATGGCTGGTCTTTGTTTCTGCCCTTGTAAAGGCCTCGGCCTGAATGTAATTATGACCCAGGTAAAGCCATTCTGTAAGAGGAACTGAGATAACTCCCAGATCCATTGCTTTATAATAGAATTTAAAGAATTTAGATGGTTTAGGGAAAAAAGAATTAGCCCTTGGGTGAGTGGCAAGCATTTTATGTACATGATTATGTCCTTGAATCCTTTGAAACCCCACTTGAGATAAGTAGATATTTTACAGATGAGACAATTGAGGACTAGAAAGGTTAAGTCATTTGCCCAAGACCTAAAACTGGTTAGACTGCCTTAGCTGTCAGGCTGTCCCACTAACAGCTGTGCCTGAGCAGCAGCGGGTGCTTCAGCTTTTGTGAGCTGTGGTTTCTTAACACCTGTTTTTCTCCAGATCATAGACTATTTACTCCAGAAAGTTTTGGGGAAAAAAAGTTCTGGTTGAGTGTACGTGTATGTGTACCTCATCCTGGGGTTTGAGTTATTTCCCTTTCTTCCTGGGTAATATTTCTATTTAAACAACACTGTAGTCAAAAAATAATACTTGTTTCTCTGTTATTGTGCTTATTTTTCTTGGGGTTATAAAGAGTATTGTGTATTGTGTATACACAATACACTTAAACTAAACAGAAAGCAAACGTTTGTTTAACAGAATAGGAAAGAGATGAAATTCATGGAAGAAGAATGTATATTCTTATTGCACTGTTTCTCACTTTCATGTGTCTGGAGTCCTGTATAGTTCAGAAGCAAGGATTTCAGTGCCTTGAGTTAAGTGGTGTACGTGGGCGTAGGAGCAGTAAAGAAAAGGGCAGCTGCAACCCCTCACGTTTGTTGAGCTGATGTATATGATGCATGTGACGATGTGCATACATGTATGTTACATTTGCTGTATACATTTTACATACATGTTCTAAGTGCTTTACTTGCATATGCTTTTTCAGTCCTCTCTCAATAACCCTTTGGAGGCAGGTAGTATTATTATCTCCATTTTACAGATGAAGAAATCAAGGCACAGAGAGGATAGGACACTTGCCTAAGGTTACAGAGCTAGGTTACATGTGCGGTTCTACATCTGAGTTAATTCAAATTTGTATTGTTAACCACTTAAATACATTATTGAAATGTTTCTCAACTAATGTGTATCTCCTTTCTGGGGATTTGGACTCATTGTACTTTTTGGGGAGCATTAGTAACAGATTGTCTACAAAGTAAAAATAACTAGGCCTAATGGGGTTATATGTAAGTCATTTGAATTACTGAAGTATCTTGACGAAGCTAAGACGATCCTTCTTATTATGTTATTAACAATAATACTTTAAAATGAAGGTATGAAAGTATTACAGATTCATGAAGGTGCTTTTTTCTACAGAATGTCATTGAAATGGAAAATTTTCATATGTTTAAATGCTGGCTGGTAGAGTAGATTTGTTTTGAATTATAGCACATAAGGAATTTTTTTGTTTGTTTATTTTGTGGTACGCGGGCCTACTCACTGTTGTGGCCTCTCCCATTGAGGAGCACAGGCTCCGGACGCGCAGGCTCAGCGGCCGTGGCTCACGGGCCCAGCCGCTCTGCGGCATGTGGAATCTTCCCAGACCGGGGCACGAACCCGTGTCCCCTGCCTCGGCAGGTGGACTCTCAACCACTGCGCCACCAGGGAAGCCCCACATAAGGAATTTTTTAAAGGTTTGGCAGTAATAAGTAAGGCAAACACCTTTTCTATTTAGCAAGCAGTAATACTGGATTCTAAAATTGTATTTTGCAGGAAGAAAGTTTGAGCCTAATAGAGACATTGTTATAAGTTTGAGGAAATTTTTATTGGTTAAGAAATAATACTACGTGTATGTTTTAATGTCTGTATGTTAAACTCAGTATATTCCCCCTCCCCCTTTTTTTAGCTCTTCAGGAAAGGACATGGATGAAAATGAAAGCAACCAGTCCCTGAGGACAATTTGCCAATATCCTAAAGAGGCAGTAAGAAAGCGCCAAAATTCACGGAATTCTGGAGGAAGTGATTCTTATAGGTTTTCCAGGAAGAGTTTCAAACTGGATTACAGACTAGAAGAAGATGTAACTAAATCAAAGAAAGGAAAGGATGGGAGATTTGTTAACCCTTGGCCAACATGGAAAAATCCCTCTATTCCAAATGTTCTCAGATGGCTGATGATGGAAAAAGATCACAGCAGCGTTCCATGCTCCAAAGAGGTAGCATTTGGCTTTCTGAGTGCTGCGCATTTGCTCTTAATATATGTATTACTTAACGTTGCTGTGAATTGTATTATGACGCTCCAGTTAGCTAATTGAGCCCTTTTGTATGATAAGGTTCTGGGGAGATGACATGAATAAGGTGCCTTCGAGTTCACAGTCGAGCAGCAAAGTACATGTGTGAATAACCAGCTCTGATCTGGTGGCAACTAGAAGTAGGAACGGATGTCTTAAAAATATAGGAAAGGACTTGATTAATTCTGACTGGTGGGATTGGAAATGGCTTTACAGAGGAGATGATATTTGAGCTGGGCCTAGAAAGATAAAAACTATTTGGCAGTGGTTTTCCAGGTGGATGATGGGCGTGGGGAAGGTCACAGAGGAGAGAAAGTGCATGGCATGTTCTAGAAAATAGTAACCTGTGTTTTGGAATATGAATTATAAGGGTTAAGCCTGGAGCGCTTGGCTCTTCATCCTTGGAAAAAGCTGCTAAAGTTATAAAAGAAATTGTCAGATAACCTTCCACTCCTTTAAAAATTGGGAATAGGTTACTGGGCTTTCAATATGCTAGTTCTACTTAGGATGAGACGATTAACCTTTGGCCTATGGTTTATGAGATGAGTGAGATTTCACTCAGCAGGGAGTCGGGGGCTCCCAATGGCAGTAGCCGTTTTTCTCCTTTCTTAGTTTCTTGCCCCTCTACACCTCCTACCCCGCTTGGCCTCTCTTTTCCAACAACCCCTGTCCTGCCAGGCCTTGTGGGGAACTGAGAGATGAGGAACTAGTAGACATTGGAAGTGGGTGGGATGAAAAGAGTGGAGGTATCCCTGAAGCGTTGATCTGCAGTAAGGCAGGAGGCTGGGGAGTGGGTTGGTGGTGGTGGTGTTAGATCGTTTACCTTAGTAAATGTGTCCATTTTTCTTTAAAGGATGTGAGATTTAAAAAAACCCAAAAACCCCATATTGTCACTTTGATGCTAAAGAATGTTCATAGTATTAATCCTAGTTAACAGAATTGAGTAACATGAATAATATTTTCTCAGCACTGTTTAAGAATGAGTCAGGATATTAATAGATAAAACCTTAGTGTATGTTTCAACTTTGTGGATGGGAGGAACAAGAAAATTTTATGTCTTCTGGAGAACCTGGTATGAAGAGAAACATGGAGTCAAGCTGTGAGAAGAAGGGTTTAGGGTAGGAGGCCAAGACGGGTAGGTTACCTGTTTGGTAAAAATTCCTTCCTGGTTTTTGGGCCACAGTTTCTAAAAATACAGTAGTAGTAATGGTGTCTTTAGTTTTCTTTCATTTCAAACAGGAAAGTGAGTGAACACATGAAGGCGGAAATACATCTCTGAACTCTGATGATTTGGAGATATTGAAGAAACTGGGTTCAATTTCTGAGAACTCACCAGGCCAGTTGTTCTTAAACTCCACTATTCTAGGTGCTAGAGAGAGAGCCATGAAAAAGCAGAAAGACAAGGGCTTCCCTGGTGGCGCAGTGGTTGAGAGTCCGCCTGCCGATGCAGGGGACACAGGTTCGTGCCCCAGTCCAGGAGCGGCTGGGCCCATGAGCCATGGCCGCTGAGCCTGCACGTCCGGAGCCTGTGCTCCGCAACGGGAGAGGCCACAACAGTGAGAGGCTCGCGTACCGAAAAAAAAAAAAAAAAGCAGAAAGACAGCCGGGCTTCGTTGGGCCTTCGGTTTAATGGAAGAGAGACAATAAACAGATAAGAAAATGATGTGGGATACTGAAAGATGATTGGTGCTTTGAGGAATAATGAGGCAGAAAAAGGAAGTTGGGGGGTGGGAGCTGAATTCTTTAATGAAGTGTAAGCTTTCTTTTTATTTTTTTAAAGGCAGGAGTTCTTTGTTTTTCTTTGCTTTTTATTTTAATTTTTATTTATATTGGAGTATAGTTGATATACAGTGTGGTGTTAGTTTCAGATGTACAGCTAAGTGATTCAGTTGTACATACACATGTATCTATTCTTTTTCAAATTCTTTTCCCATTTAGGGTATTACCTAAATAACGAGTACAGTTCCCTGTGCTAAACAGAAGGTCCTTGTTGATTATCTGTTTTATATACTAGTGGGTATATGTTAATTGTGAACTCCTAATTTATCCCTACCAGCCATGTTTCCACCCACCCCCGGCAACCATAAGTTAGCGTTCAAAGTCTGCATGTTTCTGTTTTGCAAATAAGTTCATTTGTATCATTTTCACCTTAGACTCTACCTTCGAGCTATATCAGATGACATTTGTCTTTCTGTGTCTGGCTACTTCACTTGATGTGATCATTGCCGGGTCCAGCCAGTTGCTGCAAATGGTGTTGTTTCATTCTTTTTTATGGCTGATATTACCTTGTATATATGTACCACATCTTTATGCATTTGTCTGCTGGTGGACAATTTGGTGGCTTCCACAACTTGGCTATTGAAAATAGCCCTGCAGTGAACGTTGGGATGCATGTGTCTTTCCAAAATACGGTTTTCTCTGGATATATGCCCAGGAGTGGGATTGCTGGATCATATGGTAGATTTATTTTAGTTTTTTAAGGAACCTTCATACCGATCTGCATAGTGGCTGTTACCAGTTTACGTTCCCACCAACAGCATAGGAGCATTCCTTTTCTGTACGCACTCTCGAGGATTTGCTGTTTGTTGACTTTTTAATGATGGCCACTGTAACTGGTACGAGCTAATACCTCCTTGTAGTTTTGATGTGCTATGATAATGAGTGATGTTAAGTATCTTTTCATGTGCTTTAAAAAACAAAACAAAACAAGAAAAAACCTCGTGAGTAAAATTTACCTCCTGAAATGGGCTTATTGAAAGTCGGCTCTGTTTTCAACTCTCTTTCGATCACCTACCACACTACATTTCTAGAGGCCATTGTTCATTTAAGCCTCACAGGCCTTGTGAATGTGAAGTGCCCATAAGCACTGGCTTCTTTTTGTTTTTTTTTTTAACATCTTTATTGGGGTATAATTGCTTTACAATGGTGTGTTAGTTTCTCCTTTATAACAAAGTGAATCAGTTATACATATGTATATGTATAACTGA